TCTTAAAGACAGCACACAAATACAGACATCTTATCATATTCGCAGACGGTGACTCAGCTGACTCATAGTAAGACGCAGACTTTATTCAGAAACCCGTGTTCATTCATACGGTGTCTACAGCATCATACGAAGATTAAGGCTTGTGATGAGAAAAAATGTGCTTGTTTAAAAACATCCTTTTTAAATTTTGTTTTATTTTCTAAAGCTTGTCATTCTATTTTTTTTTGACAGTGAAGCTTTTTTTTTTTTCATGCATGTTACTGTATGTGTCATTAGGATGAGTATCTGAAGGGTTTTAGCACGAAAGTAAAAGAGAAAGTCACCAAAAACCCATCTACACTTACAGACCGGCTGCTAAAATGAAGCGATCATCTTTGGTTGACTGCATTTAGCACCCTCAATGTTGAGCTAACAACCAAAGAAAAAAAAGGCAGGTAGCACAACACACTTTCTTTGTAATCCTCTGCCTGCACATGAATAGTGAAGAGTTGGAGTAGTTTATACTGTATATGATGATAACATTTAGATTTTCTTCTACTCTTTCTTTTTCAGCCTCACAATGTCTTACAATGAGTCTCTGCCCATCCCCATCCTCAAATCCTCCAAAGATGACCAGGCGACGAAGGTGGACGTCGACGCCATCATGGACAACGTCAGCATCGTCCTCTACACACTTACTGTTGTTCTCGGCATCACGGGGAACTTAGTGGTGATCTGGGTGGCTGGAATCAAGCTCAGAGTGAGTACAAAGTGCATCATGTGTTTCAGATAACTGCTGAGCTGATCTGAGAAAACTTTCATGATTGTGACAACTATCCACAGCATTATGTGTAATGTTTAACTGTCCAGAAGACAGTTTAAGTAATGACTGAGCTAAATGTACTTGGTATTTTAGATGGGAGAAAACATGGACCCTTTAAAGCCTTTAATGGACAGGTGAACACAGTTTCATGTATATGATTTGCCAAGTAGTTTTAATCCTAACAAAGTAGTTTCGGTGCCTAAATTTGAAAAAGTAGTTTGGGTGTGTAAATTTAAGCAAGTTTTTTTGTTTGCCTTAACTTTGTAGTTGTGGTGCCTAAACTTGACAAAGTAGTTTTTGGACCTTAGGCTACAAAAGTATTTCTCACCTCATCCTAACCAAGTAGTTTTGGGGCCTAAAAATGTCAAAGTAATTCTGATGCATAAACTTCATCACATAGCTTTAGTACCTACATGTAACCATGTAGTTTTGGTGCGTAACCCTGATGAAGTAGTCTGGGTGCTGAAATCTCACCAAATAGTTTTAGTACCTAAACCTAACCAAGTAGTGTTGGTACATAAACCAACTCAAGTAGTTCTGGTGCCTATACTTGCTGAAGTAGTTTTGGTGTGTAAACAAGCTTTTTTGTTGTTGTTGTCTAAGCTTAACAAAGTAGTTTTGGTACCTAAATGTCATCAAATAGCTTTAGTATCTAAACCTAACCAAGTAATTTTTTTTTACCTAAACCTCACAACGTAGTTCTGCATAAATCTCAATAAATACTTCTGGTACTTACACTTAATGAAGTACATTTGGTGCCCAAGCATCATCAAAAAGTTTTGGGACCCAAACCACTCATACTTTTTTGGTGTCTTAATCTCACCAAGTAATTTTAGTGCCTAAACCTATAAAGCAGTTTTGATACCTAAACTTAACCATGTAGTTTTGGTACATAAAACTAACCAAGTACTTCTGCTGTCTAAACTTGACAAGCTAGTTTTTTAGCATAAAGAAAAGAAAACGTCAACTGAAAATGAGAGAAAACAGCAAGTGGAAACACCCCAGAACAGTGACAACAGAATCAAACCCCCGTCCTCTGAGTAAAAGTCTTGTGGTTTGTGATTTTTTTTGCTCTTTATAGTTGTAAACTGAAACAAACTTGCAAATTTGTGAGTCAAGTGGCACGGAGGCCAAGAAATGTTGGAATTTTACAGTTTCACAGCCTGAACTGAGAAACTAAGATGTTTTGCATGTGTTACAGCATAGCTATTGCGTATTTTCGTGTGAGACCGTGTTGGACAGGAAGTGGGTTCACTGTGTCTTAATTCCCATTATGTCTATCTACATGTATGCATTACCTAACCTTCCTTTGCTTTCTTCTTTACTTTCTTTCTCCCCCCCAGCCAAAGGTCACCAATGTGTGGCTAGTGAACCTGGCGATAGCCGACTTGATCTTCTGCTTCACACGAGTTTTCTCCCTCATCAAAAAGCTCTTCTTTGACCACTGGCCCTTTGGCATCTTTCTCTGCAAGTTCAACGGCTTCTTCAAATACGCCAATATGTTCTGCTCGGTCTTCCTGCTGGCCGTGATCAGCCTGGACCGAGTGCTCTGCATCTGGCGTCCCATCTTCACAAAGCGCCGACGCTCCCTGTTGGCCGCAAGGGTGGTGGCCGTCTTCGTCTGGACTGCAGCAGTCCTCCTCAGCACCCCCTACTACATCTACCGCCAAGTCTACATAGGAAAGAACAACCTGAGTAAGTGTTCGGTGGACGTGAAGTTGGCCGCAGATGGTGACAATGTCACCAGAGCCACTCTCTACTCCATCCGCTTCCTATGTGGCTTCATGTTGCCTTTTATGGTCATCCTCATCTGCTACATCCTGGCCGGCCTCGGCATCCGACGCACCCGCCTGGCAGGGAAGTCCCGCCCCCTTCGTATATTGGCATCACTAGTCATTGCGTTCTTCCTGTGCTGGGCACCGTACCACTGCCTCCTACTGGTGAAGATGGTGGACAATAAGAACCCGGTGGTGAAGATCTGGCACCCTTTGGCGAAGGGCGTCGCCTACTTTAACAGCTGCGTGAACCCACTGTTGTACTTCTGCATGGGGCTGGAGGTGAGGGGGCACTTCAGGCAGAGTCTGACGGGCGTTTACAGGAGAGCTCTGGCGGATGACATGGACGGACGGACCACTCAGTCCAACGATCGCTCTTTGGACGAGAGTTCTGGCTCAAAGCACAGTCCTGCTGCGGTGGCGGGAAGGCGTCAGTCAGCCGTAAATGTAGCTAAAGTTTAAGTCTCTTCTGATAATCCCTCCACTTAAAGGGCCACACAGGTGATTTTTTTTAATGTTTTTAACCCTCTGAACTTTAGTCAGTTTCTTTGTCTTTCCATTTTTGCTCCTTTCACATTTTTACTCAATGTTTTGAGGTTTTTTTTTACTGCAATATGAAGTCCAACACTTCTATGGAAACAAGACAACTAGCTAGAAGTAGAGCGAAGGTTTTTAGCAAGGCAAAGTTGCAAAGCCATAAAACAGAAAAAGGTTGCACTTTTTGGATAATTTATTTTACAAAAGTTTCAAAAACCTAGAAGTGTCCATAGGTGTTACCTACACTGGAAGAAATGGTACCTCTACATACTTTAGATATTTCTCTACTTACATTTTTAACTAATTTCCATACTTGTCTTGTCCCTGTGTAAACACAGCCTGCAGTTCACCTGACACAGAATTTTCAGTAGTCACCAATGGCTTCGCCGTTACACCAAGGAGCTCAGAATTAAAAAAAAAAAAAATAGAATCTGCCACAAATGGTTAGTTTTAAATGTGACATGTAGAAAAAAGTGATCATGGTGACATATCCCAATTTTTAAGCTTAGATTTATTTTAGTTTCCTGAGAGACTAGCTTGTCACCGTTGAGTAGTGCAATGGCAGTGTAAAGTTGAAAATCTGACAATTCTTTCTGTTTTTACAGTTTCTGACTTTGATAAATAACATGCTTTACAAATCAGAGGGATGGCAGGGTGAAATGAGAATCAAACTTTAATTCCTCTTAAATAACAATACCAATTCCAGTATTTCAGAAAGAAACAGGGATTTAATAAAAGTTCAACTAACAACTTTTCCAAAAGAGTAATGATTTTGTACATAATATGTACATAACTGGTAATGACATGAAAACCACCAATGTGGTCCTTTAAGACTTTTCGTCTTTCAGTCGCAGTTTAAACCACTGACTCTCCATCTCAGAGGATTAAACTGTTGTTTAAAGAGGAAGGTGCTAAGTGTTATTTTTATGTACTCACAGTACTTCTGCTAAACAACGTAGACAATTTGTTGTAAATATCTGAATCCATCATGTATTTTGTTTGTCCCACCTGCTGACCTTACAGTGAACAGACTCACTGGATAAATGTTCTCACACAGCATGTGGTATGTGATGATAGAAGGTGTGTAGATGCAGATTTTCCTGCTGAATTGTGTTTTGACGCATGTGATTAAAGTTACAGCAGAAAAGTGGAAGTGTGGTGGGTCTGGAGGAATAAGAAGGAAGGAAGAGGGAAGTGAAACTATTAAAAGAAAAGCCCATAATAACTTTGGACAAGACTCCGTCTTGGGTAAAGAGGTCACTCTGAAGGTCGGATGAACTGAAACTTTATAGTACTCCAAGCAGTTTCTGGGCGTTTCTTTCCTCCTGTCACATTCTTTTTTTACTCACCGTTGGCTCATTTTTCATCCCAATATAAAGTTCTGCATCTCTATGGAAACAGCACAACCATAGATAGACGTAGACACAACTTAAAGGTGTCTCTATGTGCAGCATAACAAAATTTAAATACCATAAATTGCAAAAAAAAAAAAAAAAAAAAGGGAAGTTGACTTGCTTTGAATATTTATTTTACAAAGAAAAAAAAAACACTGGAGTCAACTCGCACAACAATTTATGAAGTGCCCGCAGGTGTTACCAGCACTGGAGAAAAAATACTTTACCTACTATTGAGTTCTTTAAATGTTTGGTTTCCATACTTGTCTCCAATCTGCTTTACGTAAACACAGCCTTCAGTTCAGCCTTCAGCTCCCTTTTTTGTCATGTGACATTTCCAATGTGAGTGTTCTTTGCAATGAAATCAGCCCTGGCTTCACGGTTGTGCCAAAGAGAACATATTTTTTTGTTTTTTTAAAAAGAATGTAGTTTGTGTAAGTGATTTATTTTTTGACATAAAAAAAAATAAAAATGAGACATAGAATAAAATTATTTTTGGAAAAAAATCCCAATTTTGCACTTAAATTTGATTAATTTTGCCATCAGAACAGCTAATCACAGACTGCACATCAAGGACTCTGGGAAAGTTGAAAATCAGATTATTTTTTCTGCTTTTACACTTTCTGTCTCTGACAAATGTTATTATTTTTGCAGATTTAAAAGAGAAAAAAAAAGACAACTTGCCCTATAAAATGTAGGATTTGGGCTTCAGTGGGTTACATTACCAGACACTCTAGTTTTGTTTTGCTTCACCAGAAATGCTTGGAAGGACTTTGTCTGCTGTCCGTGTACCTGTAACCTCACAACAGAACTGGGAGATGACTTTTATGGTAGACATGCTTACAAACAATAAAATCTAGTTCGGAAACTCTATCAAGCAGCGTTAATCCTTAGCAACCAGCTCATAAACCACAGCTGTACAGTATTTGCTCTACAGATTACTTACACATCACCAGCAGGACACCTGTTTGTACAATCAGACTGTTTATATTAAACTCGCCTTTCTGTCATCTCTGTGTTCCATCTAAAATCCACTGTGATGACACATACTATGTGCTTGGTTATGTTTTTTTTTTTCTTTCTTTTTTTTTTGACAGCAAATTTCTGTAAAATAACCACAACACGAAATAATGTTACTTTGTAAATTCTACGATATGATTACCAAGACAAACTGCAATGTGAAGATAAAGGCTTTTAAACTGTTTGAAAGGCTGCAAGAAATACCAAGATAATAAAGTGAGTGTTGGTTGTAGTTTGATGGTTTAAAACTGAAAAAATAAAGGTCAATTCTTGGATGTCTGACTGACTAGTTTGTGTTACAGCACTGTGCAAAAGTCACCGGACACAGTTATGTTTTAGCGGGTCTGTTTGTTTAGATACAAAAAGAACATACTGGAAATATGTGCACAGTATCAAAACAGCATGTCTACTACAGGCTGAACTCAGTGTTTAGTGTCACCTCTTCTTACACTGAGAACATCTTGAACTCTCTTGGATCACCTATCTCAAAGTTTTCTTTGCTAATCTTGTATATATTACAGAAAGCGTCCTTCAGTACTTGCCAAAAATCTTCTTTAGACTTGGGATGTCTATTCTATTTGTTTCTCTACCATAAGCCTGCATGTTTCACTAAAGGCTGCCAGCACTCTTTCTTCTACCTCTTTTTAACTCTTCTTCTCACATATTGTGGATGATTAAAACCGAACATTTTAAACTTTGATTCATCGCTCCACAGAACTTTTTTCCATTGACCTTCACTATTATCTTTGTAAGATTTTCCATCTTTCAGTCTTTAAGCACTGTTCGCCATCTGAAAAGTGCTTCCTTGGCTGCTGCCCTTCCACATTCCTGATCAAACTTCTCTGAACTGTTGACGGGCCAACTTGGTATCAAGATGCTGAGTGAGTTCTTTGCTGGACTTCTTCCAGTCTCTCAAAGGAGAAACTCTAAGAAACTCTTTTGCAGACAGTGTTCCTGGGTATCCAGTTTGTTTGCTGATTTGCTTTTGAGAAGGGCCTTGCTGATGCAAAATTATGAATTCATGCCTGTCAAATTCTGTGATCTTTGGCATTTTGAGTGGAATAATGTGACAGATGTTTGGTCTTATGTCTTATACAATTCGTAATCCTTAACTCCAGAAACATGAATTTAAACCTCACTTTAGTCAAAAAAGCAGCTCAGCCAATCAACTTTTGAGGTGCCTTGAATGAAATATGGAGTAAAATGGCAGAAGATTAATGCAGTAAATCCCATATGATTTCATAAGACATGTTAAATACAAGGAGAGGTCACTATAAATACTTTTCATTTTAGCCAGTAGAAAGTGTTGTTTCCAATTTTTTTAGTTTTCAATACTGACTACATACCTCTTATACATTCTGGTTGTATCTTAATACAGAGACTGAGAAATGCAGGTGACTGCAATTAATTAATGCCTCCCTCATTAAACATAATGGCCACAGTCTTCCCCTAACCTTAACCCTACCATATACATGGATGATGCTGTAAGTGCGATTGTAAAAAACAAAACAAAACATTGAATTCAACATGTGAATCACTGAACAGATGTTGGGGTTTTGCAGAGTTGTCCAATATCAGAGTTCTCAGCTAGAGGCGTGTCCATCCTCTGAGAAGATCCATCCATCCATTATCTATACACCGCTTAATCCTCACTAGGGTCTCGGGGGGCGCTGGAGCCTATCCCA